GGGAGTGTGCACACACTGAAGGTTGTTTATTTTGTTCATTAAGTTGACCTGAGGCGCAAAATGCTGTTTACTAGAAAATAGTTCATTGCAACTCAATATAATGGGGGCAAATAGGGGCAGAATTAGGCCAAATCCAAAGTTTTTTCATATCCACGGGATTTCCTACGCTAATAAGTGCTATGGACCAAAACTTCTTGTTCATCTGGTTTGTACTGTGAAAGAACATTAATAAAGGCCAGAAAGTGTTTCATTATATCTCTTCACAGAACAGAAAATTTTGTTTTGCCTCTTTGGAATTGAGGTCAGTGCAATTATGAGGTAACATATTATTGCTCCGAACAGGTGAGCAAAGTCAGTTTTTCTTGCAATTCTGTTAGGTTCTTTTCCACAAAGGTGAAGAATAAACTCACTAGATAATAAGTTGTTTTACTAAGCCGAAATAAGAGCCCAAATGAACCAGTACATGAGGTGTCGCGAAATGTCATGAATTTTCTCTGTAACGTCGTAAAATAACCCCGTTTTAAAAATTTTAATATAAGGAAGAGGATCTCTGAATATAAGAAATCAAAACGGAACAGACAGAAGATTATCAGTTTTAGTATAATTGAAACACATAGTATGGCACTCTGGTGTGCTTTTGCAATCAAAGAATGGGGCCTGGACGTAACAAAGTATACTAGAAACTGCTCCGGTATACATAAAAAGTACATTATTTCATTTTACGCAAAATATTTATCCCTAATTTTCAGGAAAGTCAAAAAACTGGTCAACATTTCCTATTCTGCTCTCGACATTATCTTCGAAAAGTGTAACGTACACAGATATTCGACGTTAAAATATCAAATTAAAGGGATTTTTCGCGCGGTGACTTTTTACAGAAATTTTTAAATTAATCTCTGGCCTATTCATTAGGGACGTTTGTTGTGGATGTTTTATTTTTTTCGGCAATGCGTTGACATATTTGGGTGATAAATCGCAATATGCCCTACTTTGAAGAACGACCATTACTTTATTAATGTAAGACTTTAATGGCCGCAGTTTGCGCTGCGTTTGCATAACAGGAAGTTTCGTGCAAAATGCATTGGATTTCATGAGTTAGTCCGCTTACCGTATAAATGAGGCAGTTCACTTTTCTTTCTTGGTTGTTGTCATGTCACTCACCTTGTATACGCTCAACCAAGCCTGGCAACGCATTGATCGCGCGACTGCCTACGTGCAGGCTACCGTGATGCAGAACTTCGAGTCGCGTTAGGCCACTGATGGTTGCGATTGAGAGTAAACTGAGCAGTTTCTGGCCAAAGGCCTTATAAGAAGTCTCCTTCGAGCTGACCTCGTAAAGAACGGACAGTCGGGACCAACCGTTGTATCGCAGTAACGTCCCCAGACCCCTGCTCAGCGTTTGGACGGGCAACGGCAGGTAGAGAGCACAAACTTCCAAGGAATTTGAAGCACTCAAGTGTTCAGTCTTTTTCATGCTTACGCCCGTAAAGAAGTTGTGTTGGTTTTCTGGACGACATGCATAATTGAGTTGGTAGAGACTGTAATAGGAAACGTTACTGAAACCAGCAAAGGCTATCCAGGTACTGATGAATTGACATTCACCGCCCAGATTTGGCCCCAAAAGCACGGAAAAGCCCGTCGAAGTATTCAACCCTTCGACTATTCCGTTGAGTGTTTTAACCAGAAGGGAGGCTCGAGTATTCTCTTGAAGAGAACATCCAGGAACATTTATCCTTCGCACGTAGGCTCTAATATTGATGTTCCAGTTGGGCACCTGGGTAGGAAGATACTCTAACGGCACTTTAATACTGGCAAAATAATTAAAAAGTAGAGTCCCCGGAATGCATTTGGGCGGCGCAGTTGTAATTATTAGGTTGAGGGGAATTGAAGGCCTCGTTTTGTCCCCCACGACACCCGCAGCAACAATCACTATGAACGTAAGAAGAATACATCGTTCTTGGCCCATGCAAACAGTGTCTCCATTCAACGCCAAATGAACCCCCTCTTAAGACGCTGTCTTCTGGCATTTTTGGCCGTCTCACTGGCGCGCAAACGTCAAGGAGGAAGGAGCACACTGTTTAATTGGTCCACATTATTACGGTAGAGGGCCCTGCCATTTAAATGAGTGGTGTTATCTGCCACTCCCCTCTTCCCTTCTAAGCACTAACGGGGAGACAAACACTTGCTTAAAGGCTTATGGGGGAGCGCGGAGACAGACCAAGGGAATGCGAAGACCTAACAAGGGCATAATTATGAAATGATGAAAATAGCAAACAAGATATATTGTAGGTGGACAAATAAACTGGATAAATGGATGCTGAGCACGAAAGTGAAGGCGACATATGCTGCTAATAAACATGGGAAGTGGCTATTACTTCTGTGGTGATGGGAAAATGGATGCACGATGCAGGATAGAAAAAGAGCTAGCAGCAAAGGTAGGAACAGTTACAAGTGCTGCCACGTATTAGGAGAGATAACCAACGTTGAATTATCGTAGAAGAAGCACTCCCCGACCAACTCACGGTACCTGCTCGCCTTGGGGTTGAGCCCCCCCCCTCCACCGAAAGTCGCATAGCTACCAGGAATATATGAAGAAATTAGATCCGATAAAGACAAAGGCGGATAGAACCCTTTGGTCATAGAGTCCAACGTTCTACAATGGAGCCACAAACCCGTTATACAGCCTCCCGGTTATCCTCTGTGAATATACGGCCGACCCATTGTACAGGTGGCCCTGCGCCAAACTGCCAGGGAATTGAGAATTAGAATCAGGATCTAAAGTTAGCCTACGTAGCATACCTCCCCCTAGGGCCCCGAAGGCCCCTCCCCCTCCGCACACAGAGCCTACAAACAAACCATGACTCACTCCCTTACACGACAATGGTTTAGCGGCTCTGTCACATAAACTGTCTAGCGTACATTTCTCACTTCGTATACACTGAAAGGCAGGCACCCCAAGAAATATAATTTCATGGAAAGGCATCCTTTCCCAAAGGATGCCTTTCCATGAAATTTCTCACTTCATTTTATTTTGTCTGAGGTCAGGTTGGTGTCGACAGCTCGACATTCCACACGTATATAAATGCATGCTGGAATGTCCGAACACCAATTCAATGGGCTTCCGAATTAAACAACGTTCACGTGGTGGATAGAGGCCGTGAAGTCCTCGAGGCAATGCACTCGGACACGTCATGCCTCAAAATGTATGTCGAGTTGGATTCTTTGTACAAAAGTCGCAAACAGAAATGAGCGAGATACGAACTGGTCCAAATGGGATGCGACAAATGCCAACAGCCTACTGGCACAACGAGTTACAAATGAGATTCCAAAAACCTGCCTTCATCACCGCCAGTCACAACAACATGTTGTACACCCACCACTATTCGCATGGCTGTCTACTCATCTTTTTGGCTGTGCACTCACAATATTAGCTGTCCTTTGGCGCTTTCATTTTACTCTGCGTCTGATTATGTGCCAGGGCTCCAGTCTCAAAAACTCACGCAATAAGTTCTATTTCCCGAAGAACGTATTCAACTTCAATATGTAATCGCGTTCATCATCTCACAAAGGTAAGGAAGAAGAAGAGGGGACAGTTTCATGGACCAAATTGTATTTGAACTGACGTTTCGAAAACCTTCTCGCTTCCACCGTCAGAGTTTAGTAGAGTCAGATGGTTTTAATTTAGCCCGTCTTGCCGTTTTCCTCAAGTTATATCGGTGTTGGGCGTGTGAAATTTGACTTGTCCGTTCGTTGCCGACCACTTTTGGTCTCCCGGAGGTTGGCTACTGGTGGGCTGAATTGACCTTCGTCCCTTCTGCGGTCAGCGTAGTTGTAGGCGATTCAGTATGTTGCTGTCTATAACAGAGCTATCGACCTGAGCCTTGCCTACCAAGCGCTCCGCACAAGGCTCGGATCAAGTCGGCCAGAGCCA